TAAAGTCTCAAAACCCTGATATTAGCAATCGTGCTCGCAGACGATTTCTTTCAAGACGGCACACAGATCCCTGGACCCATGGGACGTTGTCAGTGGTTTTGCCCGAGCCAGCGTCGGGCCAGCGTGAATTGTTTTGTCAGCCATCTGGTGTTTACGCGGTTTGTATCCCAAGCTGGTGGCGACAAAGCTCTTCTTTCAGCAAGGTGCTGAGTTATGCACGGCTGCAGCTGTGTTGGACACCTGAGGTGTTCATGTGCTGTCGTGTACATGTTCATTACGAGGTGTTGCAGATGTTGATGCAGCCGTATATCCAGACTAAGGTAGACGTGACGTGTCCACAAGGATGTAGGTTGCGGCTAGCCGCATTTAGCCTGCGACGTTGCACTCTGCATGTCAAACAGTGGTCGAGACGACCGGACATGCCAAGGAGACTCGCAATTTGGAGCTCTGCGAAAGCATCCAGCATTTTATGTGCATGGAGTTTTTTAGTCCTGACGGCGTCTCTTCCTTTCCTGTCGCTTGTAGCATTCACAGAAATCGTGTGTTTTTGATAACCGTGTCTGTGTGACTGCATGTCCGTTGTGTTGCCTTCTGACCCTCCACGCAAACCTCACGCCCTATGTTAACACCGAAATCCCAACTGCCACACCATGCTAAACTCCAAACCCTTGTCCTATTCTTTGGGCCCCTAAGGCCACAAACATCCCCAAACCCAAAGCATGAAATTCCAATGTGTACTTGCGCAGACATTGCTTTCTTTTGTTGTACAAACTCATTTGAATCAACATCCAGTCTACCTTTATTCTTTGAAACCCTGGGCCGTAAGCCCTTCAAAAGCCGAATTCCAGATGTCGAGAGCCCCCACCCCTTCTAAGTTATATCATATACCAAACCCTAAACCTTAAACCCTAAACCCTAAACCAAAACCCTTAACCCTAAACCCTAAACCAAAACCCTAAACCCCAAATCTTAAACCGTCATAGACCATGAAGCTGCCAGGGCAAGCTTTTCGAGCCCGAACGAGAAGCTGAGATGGCGCTTCACTACTTGGAGAGCATTGAGGTGATGGGTTCAGGGTTAAGGGTTTTTGGGGTTTATAGGGTTTATAGGGTTCAGGGTTCGGGTTTAGAGGGTTTATAGGGGTTTATAGGGTTCATAGGGTTTATAGGGTTTATAGGGTTTATAGGGTTTGGAGGGTTTCTAGGGTTTATAAGGTTTATAGGGTTTATAGGGTTTATAGGGTTTGTAGGGTTTGTAGGGTTCGTAGGGCTTGTAGGGTTTCGGGTTTAGGGTTTGGGGTTTGGGTTTTTTTGATCCTTCGAGCTTCGTGTTCTCTGCCTCCTGAGCACCGAAGATGACATGTGTGGAGGGTTCGCAGCTTCTGCTGCAGCTCTTCCGCGTTCTGCTGAAGAACACACTGCAGGAGCACAGCCAGTACAGTAGCTTGGTTTGGAATGGAGCGAAGTTGCTTTCGTCTGTCAGTCGCAGGACCTGAGTACCCAACTGGTGCCGAACGCGACCGAGACGGCTTGCCCCTACTTGCGAATGCGTGCAGCCCAGACTACTCTTGGGTGAGCTGCTTGGAGCTTAGCCTGTCACGAGGCTCCGCGACAGGGTGATGTCGGCGGCCGTCTCTGCTTTCAGCTGGAGAGGAGCTCCCGTGCCCTTACGTGATGGGTGGCAGAGTCAGAGCTCCAGTGCGGTCGGCAGGAAGCCAGGCATCGGCCGGATCGAGCTCGTCTGTGCAGCGGGATGCCAAAAGTCTGATGATGTATGCTTCATGTGAGACCGTGTTCAGTCTACGCCACATGTGAGATGTTTTAGAGCTTGCGAGACTTCGACAATGAGGATGGATGGTGGTGAAGTCGATGCTGAGGCGGGCCAGCTTACTTCTGCTGGAGACATGGGTGCTTTTCAAGCTTTGCGCTTTCAGCTTGTTGTGCTTGAGTTGCGGCTGGGAAATTCAACACAGGATGGATTGCTACTGCTGCTGTTGCCCGAAATGTTTTGGGTTCGGCGTAGCAAAGTATATGCAAAGGACCGACCGTATTCGCTGCCCAGCCCAAGCACCGGATTGAGCTAACCCCTACCCTACAATGGGCTATATGATGGGTATATAATAGCTCTATTAAGGGCATATACCTAGGGGTCCTTATAATAAGGATCCTACTATTTAGGGTACTATTCTAGGGTCCCAATAGTAAGGGCACATACCTAGGGGTCCTTATTAAGGTTTACGGAACATCCAGATCAAAGTCCAACAGTCAGAAACTACTGGCCCTGAGAGCTCTGAAACATTAAGCCAAGGGTAGAATACGCTATACTCCAGAATGCCATATACTATACTAAATGCTACACTATACTATACTATGCGATGCTATGCTATACTGTACTATTTCAAAAAGTGGTTTAATACATACACGATTTAATAATTAATAAATACTATAATATACATGATAATCAATATGGGAGTTTCCGAACATCGGGGACCCTAATATAGTACCCCAAATAGTAGGTTCCTTATTATAAGGACCTCAAAATAAGGTACCCCGAATCTTCGGAAACTCCCATGTATTATGTACAATATATGGATGGTTGTTAAACCTGTGGTCCCGTCTTTTGGGTCCATATATTGTAGTACGGCAGCTTATAGTTAGGGTACCCAAAAAGGGACCATGGTTTTGACAACTACCCATTTAATGGGTTCAGTGCATGTTCCCTAAACCCTAAACCCGTTCGACCAGCCTGAGATCCCATCCCTCGAGGCCGCTTTGGTTGGCGAGTGCGCAGAGTTTCCAGGGGAGGCAGAGCTTTGGGTTTTAAGGGTTTAGGGTTATAGGGTTTGGGGTTTAGGGGTTTTAGTACTAGGGGTTTCGGGTTTAGGGTTCTGAGGGGGTGTTTAGTAGGGTTTTATGTAGGGGTTGTAGGAGTTTGTAGTGGGGTTCACCGTTCAGGGGGATGTTTCGGGCTTAGGGTTTCGGGCTTGGAGTTTGGGTTTTAGGGTTTGGGGTTTCCGTTTCGGGTTTCGGGAGGGTTTCAGGTTTAGTATGTAGTTTAGGGTGTCGGGTCTAGGGGGGGAAGTGGGGATTCCCGGAGCCAAGCGCAGGAGCAACTGCAGACCATCTTGGCCGCCTTGGAGGTGTTCGAGTCCTCGATATGTCACTGCCCTGGTGCGGAGTGGCCACAATCAACATGTACACACACACACATATATATATATACACACACATATTTATACTAATGTATACATATGAACATGTATGTATGCACGCATGCATTCATGCATGCATGTGGTGATGTAGGTATTTGTCCGTTGTCACATGACATAGTTGCGGACGACTATCGAAAGGCTTGGCCTCCTCCCTGCGAGCGAAGCTTGGGGACGAAGTTGAGGTGCAAACCTCAGAGATGCTTGCGAGTACTTACCTTTGGTTAGTAGGGAAGGGAAGAATGGTAGAAATAGTTATAATTGTACCCCATTCCTCCATTCCCTACTAACCAAAGGTAAGAGTAGTAGCAGGGCATGACTTATTGAGATTCCGCAAGGCTTTGCTCGAAGAGCTGCTCACAGAAGGAGAGGCACGGTTGACAGCGATGCGAGTGGTGCCGGGGGGGGGGGGGGGCTTGGCTTTTTTCGTCTTGGCTTCGGGGGATCTCTTTTGGGATTTTCAGCTGCGCGAGGCTGACGTCACACTCCCGGAGCAGCGGCAGGCCGTCGAGAGGTGGGCCTGCAGCTTCAAGCGAGCTTGTAATTGCTCCGCAGCTTCACTTGAAATGAATTCAGAGGCTCTTCGCGAGAAGCCGTTTCCTCGAAAGGGACGAGGCTTTGGTGAGTGGGCACATGCCACATGTCGTTACGGCCAAGCCTGCACAAGCAAGGACGACGAGGATGACGACGATACCGACTTGTTGGGCCGGATCCTCGAAATTGAGAGATGGGAGTTTCCGAAAATAGGGGACCCTAATATAGTACCCTAAATAATAGGATCCTCATAAAAAGGACCCCCAAATAAGGTACCCCTAATTTTCGGAAACTCCCAGATCCCCTTATGTGGAACAGAACTCTCATTGTGCATGCCTGATGTCTGTTGGCGAGGTGTGGTGGGCAGCTTGCCTTTAGCCAAGGATTGCATCTTGAGCGCTGCGCGTCTGTCCTTTTTCAGATCTTTATGATGTAAGGTATATTCCTTAATCCTTTATAGAACCCTTATAGATCCCTTTAAGGAGCCCTTTAAGGTATATATATATATATAATATATATATATATATATATATTCCTGGGTTCAGCACCTGCAGGAGTTTGTTCTGCAGCTGCAGCCCACGAGTTCCAGGGAAGGCAACCCCTGCCCAAGGCGGCTTTACGCTGAGGCAGCCGGGTGAAGTTGGGTTGATCAAGGATTCACAGGGCTCGGATGAAGGTAGGTGGGATAATTCCAAAATAAGAGTCCTTATAAAGGGGATCCTTAATCCTGCCTACCCTCATCCCATTTTGTCATCTTTCCTTGATCCAGTGCTCCGAAGGTTCGGGAAAACCATGTGCGCCTCGCCGTGGTGCGCGGGCTCTCCTACGGATGATCGATCAAGGGCCAGGTCTCTGATGTGTCTCTGGCGACATTGCCTCCGGCTCCCGCAGATCTTCGATCGCTCCGGCATCAATCTCCTCAAGCTCACGTCGAAGCAGCGAGCACTGGCATCACGAAGATGGATGGACAGCTACCAGCCGCAGCCGGGTGCTGCCGTCGCAAGCATCTTTTCGTTTGATGGCCCCAAACTCGGCAATGCCAGTGTTGTACATACTCGTAGTCAGTTTTCTCCGCACGGACAGACTTGCAGAGAGAGCGTCTGCTGGCATTGGAGCGTGTGGAGCATCCGACTCAACCCTTCCTCGGGCTGTTCTTTGGTGCACAAAATCCGCGCGGAGAGGCCTTACTTAGAATAGGGTTTTGGGGTAATCCCCAAATAGCATTGGTAAGGGTCTCCGCAGCTAATTTCTGGCCCAGGCTCCCAAAGAAAAGGAGCAATCGGAGCAGCAGGACTCAGCCAAGAAGCCAAAGGATGAAGATAAGAAGGAGAAGAAAAACAAGAAGGAGCCTTCGAAAGGCGAGAAGGAGAAGGAGAAGGAGAAGGAGAAGGAGAAGGAGAAAGAGAAAGAGAAGGAGAAAGAGAAGGAGAAGGTGATGGGCCCAAGAGTCTCGTAGTGATCCCTGGAGTCTCTGTCTCTGGCATGTGCAGGAGAAGCGGAGTAGCAAGGGCTCCTCAAAGCGAAACGACAAGAAGGCACGCCCGCTGCCATGCCCGCATACGCGGCGCATACACGGGACCGAGAGCAGACCGAAACTGCAAAGAACTCCTGTGCCTGTGCCCCAGGGCGCTGGCGAAGACGAGGCGAGCTGGGGAGCTGTGCTTTCAGGATCCTGTGCTTGTTGGAGCTCTGCAATTCACAGAAGTATACCAACCAGGTCTAGTCTCCTAAACCCTTAACATCCCTTAACCCTAAAACCCTAAACCCTAAGCCTCTCATGGGCCCATCGCGGTCCCGCAGTCTGTGTTGCAAGGTGGCGGAGTCAGAGCAGAAGAAGCAGAAGACTGGCCAGCAAGGCGCCAGGGTTGAGAATCTCCCAATTACGGGGTTAATATAGGGGTTAATATAGGGGTCTCAATAATTACCAATGCTAAAGGAGCTGGTTCAAGCGTGTACAAAGGTCGCATGAACGTTCTGCCCACCTGCCTCCCGCCCCTGACATCAACAAGGGCCGGTGCAAGGTAGAGGGACAATGCACCGGGGCAACCGGCTCTTCAGGGCTAATTACAGCTTGGTTTCCGCACCTTTCTCGGCCTGCCATCCGCCAGGAGGCTGGGCGCTCTTCACAAGCTGTCCATCCCTTCCGAGAGGCGAGCATCTGTGGCAACGCATGCTGTAGCTTTGCATAGCGCTCTGTTACTGCTCCCCCGTCCCCGGCAGTGGGCCGGCTACGCAAACTCTACTCAGAGATTCACCTTTCACCATGACGTTGACCAAGGCTTCCGGCATCATCTCAGGCAGAGCGCGCCCGTACACGACACCGCACCAAGGACACGTATGTGCCTGAAGACGATTCCTGCCTCTCGGCTACCGCACCTTCCTCCGCCATGACAGCCTTCCCTTGCGACCAATGTCCCACGTCTCCTGGATGATGGTGCCGGCAGTGGTTTATGCGCCACTGCAGCCCCCCTCCGTCGACCAAGTCCACAGTGACAGCATTCTACTGGGTAGAAGTTGTTTCTTGTCCCGCTGCCCGAAACTTGTGCCAGTCGCGGTGTTCCTTCGGGGAACCCGTTTCCATGTCATTCCATGTCAGTCGCAAGTCATGTTGAATGTTTGGGGCTATGTCTGCAAATCCCCTAGGAACGTTGATGCCCAGACACGTACAAAGAACAGGGAGCACATGCGACAACCGACCTGCTCAAAGCCCTCGATGATTGAGCAGAGGCACCACTTGAGCAAACTGAGGCTTGCGAGGCTCCACGTGTGCAAACTGAGGCTTGAGAGGCTCCACTTGTGCAAACTGAGGCTTGCGAGGCTCCACGTGTGCAAACTGAGGCTTCAGAGGCTCCACTTGAGCAAGTTGAGGCTTGCGAGGCTCCACTTGTGCAAACTGAGGCTTGCGAGGCTCCACTTGTGCAAACTGAGGCTTGCGAGGCTCCACGTGTGCAAACTGAGGCTTGAGAGGCTCCACTTGTGCAAACTGAGGCTTGCGAGGCTCCACGTGTGCAAACTGAGGCTTCAGAGGCTCCACTTGAGCAAGTTGAGGCTTGCGAGGCTCCACTTGTGCAAACTGAGGCTTGCGAGGCTCCACTTGTGCAAACTGAGGCTTGCGAGGCTCCACGTGTGCAAACTGAGGCTTGAGAGGCTCCACTTGTGCAAACTGAGGCTTGCGAGGCTCCACGTGTGCAAACTGAGGCTTCAGAGGCTCCACTTGAGCAAGTTGAGGCTTGAGAGGACTGAGGCTTGAGAGGCTCCACGTGTGCAAACTGAGGCTTGAGAGGCTCCACTTGTGCAAACTGAGGCTTGAGAGGCTCCACGTGTGCAATCTGAGGCTTCAGAGGCTCCACTTGAGCAAATTGAGGCTTCAGAGGCTCCACTTGTGCAAACTGAGGCTTGAGAGGCTCCACGTGTGCAAACTGAGGCTTCAGAGGCTCCACTTGTGCAAACTGAGGCTTGAGAGGCTCCACGTTTGCAATCTGAGGCTTGAGAGGCTCCACTTGTGCAAACCGAGGCTTGAGAGGCTCCACTTGTGCAAACCGAGGCTTGAGAGGCTCCACTTGTGCAAACTGAGGCTTGAGAGGCTCCACGTGTGCAAACTGAGGCTTGAGAGGCTCCACTTGTGCAAACTGAGGCTTGAGAGGCTCCACGTGTGCAAACTGAGGCCTGGGAGGCTCCACTTGTGCAAACTGAGGCTTGAGAGGCTCCACGTGTGCAAACTGAGGCTTCAGAGGCTCCACTTGAGCAAGTTGAGGCTTGAGAGGACCGAGGCTTGAGAGGCTCCACGTGTGCAAACTGAGGCTTGAGAGGCTCCACTTGTGCAAACTGAGGCTTGAGAGGCTCCATGTGTGTAAACTGAGGCTTGAAAAACTCCACTTGCGCAAACTGAGGTTGCAGAGGCTCCACTAGTGCAAACTGAAGTTTGGCACTTGTGCATGCAAACTGAGGCTTGGGAGGCTCCACTTGTGCAAACTGAGGCTTGTGAGGCTCCACTAGTGCAATTTGAGGCTTGCAAGGCTTTGCTTGTGCAAACAGAGGCTTGGAAGGCTCCACTTGTGCAAACTGAGGCTTGAGAGGGTCCACCTGTGCAAACTCAGGCTTTTCGGTGTCTGCAGCGCATAATTTCTCCGCGCACACGTTCGTGCTTGGGCCATTGGGCGTCATAACCTCAAGAAGCTGCTTCAAGCATGTATAAGGTCGCATGAACGTTCTGCCCACCTGCCTCCTGCCCTAACATCCACAAGGGCCGGTGCAGTAGGGGGACAACACCGGGGCAACCGGCTCTTAAGGGCTACAGCTTGGCTTCAGCAAATACTAGAATGGGGGCTTCTTATTATACTTAAAGTATAATAGGCCCAAAGGCTCTATTCTAATTATTAAGTCCCCGATGCTTTCAAGGTGAGTGTCTTGAGCAGGCGTTGCAGATCCAGAAGCGGAGGCCGTGAATGCTGGGTGCTTGGAGGCTTTCGTAGATCTACGGCCCACTTCGGCATGGAACCTGACAGAAAAACTAGACCCTGAACATTGCGCCCTAAACTCTAAACCCTGAGCCCGAAAACTATGAGGTCATGCAAGCGAGCTCCTCCGATGAGGCTGGCGCTGCAGCGGTTCCCTGGACAGAACATTTTGTAAGACCGTGTTGACGAAGGACCAAGATGACGACAGCATCGATGAGCTGAAACACGGTTCAGTGGAGGACGTTAACCTTGCAATTCTCACTACTTGCGCTGTTTTGGGTTGCGTGCTTTCGGGAAATTCGAGCCTTGGCTCCTGTGTTGAGTCTTTATCGTGGCCTCTTTACTTTCTGCTGCTTCGCCATGACAAGTGCTACCATCACCAGTCATCAGTGGTCGCTGCTAGCAAGCTATCGGCAAGACAGTCAGTACAGTTGCTTCGAAGCATTATCTGCTGCTGGAGCTCACGTTCTGCGTTTTTAGTCCTTTTTTTGACACTGATGTTCCTACCAATGCAACTAGTCACGCTGCTTTACTTGAACGGTCATCACCAACTGCATCATCATCATCATCATCCGCCCTCATGCTGAATGACATCTTCCACTATCGTCACTCTACCCGGCTGCTCCGCCAAAGCTTCAGTTTCGGACTGCCTACTGATGGAGACTGAAGCACCCGTCCTCGGAGGAGAGAGACCCGAATGCGCTGGTAGGGTCTGCCTGGCCCGAGAACTCCAAGTTAGCTCCGTAGAATCGCTGACCAGAGCCAGGCTCGCGGAGGAGGAGCTCAAGGACTTCGAGCAGGCTCCGTGTCCGGAGTAGTTCTTGTGTCGAAAACAGCCCAGCGAGCTCAGGAGACAGCCTTTAAGGATAGGGCCCAAAACGCTGAATCCGCCTTGATCCTCCAGGTTGGATTGCTGGTGGAGCCTGCGACTGTGGCCGAGATGCCAAAGGTGGGCTTGGAGGCGCCCGCATGCGGTGTGCCGACTCAGAACTCAACGCACAAGAGTGATGGCGGCATCACAACCGGTGGTGAAGATATGATGCTGGTGGTGTCGAGGACGATGATGCTGCTGCTGATGGCGGTGGCGGATCAAGATTGGAGGATGAGGTTGAGAATGTGACTTTGGTGGTGGGAATCCACATGAGAGGGAGGATGACGGCGACGATGTGATGCATGCGGCATCTGGGGAAGCTTATGTATCTGTGGGTAAGACTGGTGATGAGGATGGAAGTGCATCCAGACTAGATGATACAGTGATGATGGAAGACATGGTGCAGGAGATGAAGTTGATGAACAAGAAGACCGGGATGATTGATGACACATCAAGATCGGGATGATGAGGGTGGGAATGGCGACAACACAGGTGATGTCAGTAATGAGAAGCAGCAGCTGCGGCGGCGGCGGCGGCGGCGGTGGCGGCGGCAGCAGCAGCAGCAGCAGCAGCAGCAGCACGTATCACTCTTCCTGCCTTGCGTACTGTGCTCTCACACCGGTGAATGATCTTGGAGTTGGTGGCATTCGGCGCCTGTCCCGCGAGTTGGCAGTTGAACGCATGCAGTCCCAAACATACCTGCTTCGCAGAAGCAACTGCATGTGGGCGGTTGTCAAAATCATGCTCCTTCTTGGGTCCCTGTTCTAAGACGGCACCTATGATTTGGGGTATCCAAAAAGGGACCCTAATTTTGACAACCACCCATGTGGTAGCGTGAGCAGCAACCACACTGCCCTGAGCAACAGCATCTTGCAGGACTACTCGGCCGAAGTGCTCGCCCAAGTGCCCATCCAGGGCTGGCAGGCTCCTTGCTACGGTTGATGATCTAAATCCTGCATTACCTTAATGACACTAGACTATGGGAATTATGGTCTATAGTATATCATCAACAGTATCACGACGCAGTCAGGAAGTATCAGGGGCGGAACGTGTCTTGACAGGCCGAGCTGCTGAGTTCCAAGATTGGCTCGACCCTCAAATGCTTGATATATTATAATATATAATAGAATATGTTATACAGTATATATATATATATATATATCATATTATATGTTATACATAAACATAGTATATCGTGCGTAGACGTCTCTTGCCAGAGAGTGCAGCTCACTGAGGGTATGATGGGCCGAGTTGGTCCATCGCCCTGGTCTACACCTCAGCTAACAGAGTAAATCGGTGGATCCGCGGGTGCCTTGCTTCCCCTAAACCCCTCAACTCCTAAACCCTAAACCCTTAAACTCCTAAACCCCTAAGCCCCAAAACCCCTAAACCCCCCTAAACTCCTAAACCCTAGACTTGCCTGCAAGCCAAGCATAAGAGGCCTGCGTCGCAGACGCCAAGATCGACGTCAACTTCAATGAGGGTCAGGCCGGAAGCAGGGCAGGGCTGGCCGCATATATATATATATATATATATGTATATATGTATATATATATAAAATATGATAGTATATATATATATATATATAGAGTATGTCCTGCCCAACTCTCGGTTCTTTCGAAGATCTGGAGCATCTCGTTTCGCCTACGACGAAAAGCTTGAAGCAGAACTCCGAGCCCTTGTCACGGTGGACGGTAGACTTCGGGGCGGTTGAGGGTAAGATGTGACCAGGCAACAGTCGAAGCGATCACTCCAATGGCGTTCTTGCCTCAGACTCGCAGCCACTGCTGTCATGTGTGGTCTTCCTTGGTCTCGAGTCTAAAGCTCAGGAGCTTCTGTTTCTCATGTTCCAGTGATGTTCCACGTCAGTGCATGGGAAAAGGCTGACTTGACAGCCAGACAAGGCGCCGGCGAGCAGAGTTCGTGATCACCAAGTTCCTCGAGTCCCGGGAGTCGGGAGGCTGCGGCTGAATGGTCGCTTGTGGCTCCGGATGATTCGGATGTCTGTGCAGGGATCATGGTTGATGATACTCGTCGCCACAGCTTCATGAGCCTCGGCAAGCAAGGTTTAACATTGCTCAAGCCAGCAGTTTTAAGTCCGGCTGCCGAGGACACTCCTGAAGTGGACACCAATGCCGTCGGACCGATGAGTAGCGACAACTCTGACTCAAGTCCACACAGTCTCGTCGATCGGACTGCCGTCTCACTTTCTGCGGCCACGGCTTGTGCGAAACTGCCTGCTGCTCCCGTCGCCTTCTCTTGAGCACACACTGATCGTGTTGCTGCCATCATCACCTTGTCATCGTGCTCCTCACCAACATCCGTACCCTTTGCCAAGTTCCGTCATCAGGATGATGGCCATGTCCACCTTCAGCGGCATCATCATCGTCCTCCTCCTCCTCCTCCTCCTCCTCATAATCATCGTCATCGCCATCATCATCATCATCATCATCACCATCACCATCATCATCATCATCAGCATCATCATCGCCATCATCATCGCTATCACCAACATCACCATCTTGATCGTCACCATCGGAATCAACACAATCATCGTCATCATCATGATCATCATCACTCCCCATCATCATGGACATGAGCCCCACGATGCTGCTACGACTGCCTCAGAATGCATCGGCAGCTGGTGTTACCCCTTCCCTTGGAGCGAGGGTTGAAGGGCACGATCAACCGGCTGCTGACAGGACAAAGATTTGTTCCAGAATCTGACGATAAGTGAGGAGGCCACTCTGGATGCTGTATGTGCTTCTGTTGATGATACAAATCCTGCATTACCCGTAAGGAATATACCATAAATCCCACAGTTTAGAGTCCTCAAGGTTATGCAGGATTTATTTCATCAACCGTAGTGCGCTCAACGGATACAACGATTTATTGCGGGGTTGAAATTGGCTTCCAGGTGCTGGTTGTTCCAGCTCGAGTCCCTTCTGACCAGGCATGGTTCTCTGCAAGCGCTAAGCCCTAAACCCTACCCTTGACTCCTATAGATCCCTTAAAGGGACTACCTGCCAACCCTTATAATCCTCTGTTTGCCGACTCGCGCTTCCGGGCTTCCACTTGGAGGTTCATGGGTAGTTATAAGTGGGGTTATAAGTTATAAGTCCCCTAATATGGGTTATAAGTATAGTTACGCTACTTATAACCCTACTTATAACTACCCCTGAACCTCCAAGCACTGGCAGGAGGCGGCAGAGTCCATGAGCGAAGGAGCCTTGGTGGAGGCGCTCGGGTTTGGGAGCGCGGGATTTCCCAGCATTTTGCGTGTAGTTCTCTGTACTAGGATCCCTTTTTCGGTCCCCAAAATAATACCACGGCAGCCTTGCAAAGAGGACCCCAAAACGGGATCCTAACTTAGAGAACTGCACATATAAGCCCTAAACCCTGAGCCCTCTAAACCCTAAACTTACCTTTGGTTAGTAGGGAATGGAAGAATGGTAGTACTAGTAGTTAGGATTGTGCCCCATTCCTCCATTCCCTACTAACCAAAGGTAAGTAAACTCTCTGGCACAGGTAAGGGCAAACGACCGGGCAGACTGGCAGCCTGCCGTCCTCAAAAAGGAGAACCGACTAGGTGCCCACGGTTTAGGTTTGAGGGTTTAGTGGTTTTGGTTTCACGGGGATTCGTTTAGGGTTTGGGGTTTGGGGGAATTTAGGGTTCAGTGGTTTAGGGTTTAGGGGGATTGAGGCTTTAGGGTAGCATGGCCATGAAGCGCCTGTGCTCCAAGCTGTGAGGCCACGTCTGGGTACTTCCTGTCCAGGCGAGGCAGCAAATGGAGGCGGATCTTGGAATGTCAGTACTTACCTTTGGTTAGTAGGGAATGGAAGAATGGTAGTACTAGAAGTTATAATTGTACTCCATTCCTCCATTCCCTACTAACCCAAGGTAAGAGAGCTTGCAAAAAGCTTCTCTTGGACTGGCCACACCCTATACCCTACTTAAAGGATCATGGGACTTAGTAACTAGGGTTATAATTAGGGTAACTATACTTATAACCCCAATTAAGGTACTTATAACTTATAACCTTACTTACTAAGTCCCATGATCCTCCAAGTAGACGGCCAAGACTTGGAAAGCAAGCTTGCAGGTCGAGCTGAGCAACGTCCGGCCTGGCTTCGACATGGTTGCGATCATCGGCGAGAGGATGAGCATCTGCCTCAAGCCCTTTAGGGTTTAGGGTTTAGGGGACCGGGGGAGCTCGGCGAGTCAACGGATGTTTGCCAATCTTCCCTGCCCTTTCTCCTTCGTGGCCTCTTCATCTTGTCAAAGCTGCTGTTGGTTGAAAGATTTTGTGTTCACCATGACTGCAGCCTTTGGTTATGCTTCCAGCAGTCTGCCTGAACTCGACTTTACAGTAGTGGTTGTACTAATCTCGGAAATTTTACCTTTTGCGGCAACAGCTTGTTGTATATTCGGTCGTCAATCTCAGAATTACTGCTAGCGTCTGTTGGCATAGGTAGAATTACGGTATTTCTCTTGTAATGTGTGGAGCCATGGCCAAATGGTGATAGAGGCATCATAGACAACTTGTTCTAATTCGCATGTTCAGTGTGAATGTGCTTGTCGAACCCTTGTAGTAAAGCTGCGGTCTTCACGCCATCTTTCGTGTTCTTTGTTTCCGACCTTCCTCATCCAAAAGAAGATGATGCTGGTCATGATGGTGGTTGTATTTTCCCCTAAACCCCTAAACCCCAAGCCAAAAACCCCAAAACCCTAATTGCCCTAAACCCCTAGACCCCAAACCCCTAAACCCCTAAACCCATCCTAAACTCCAAAACCCCAAAAGCCCCAAACCCTAACCCTGGCCTCGTCTCATTCTTCTTTCTACTTGGAGGGTCGGGGGACTTAGTAACTGCTTATTTTAGGGACTTATAAGTACCATAACCCTAATTAGGGTCCCTTTTAGGGTACTTATAAGTCTACTTATTACCTACTTACTAAGTCCCTGAACCCTAAACCCTATAGTACCCCTATCGAGCCCTTAAAGGAACCCTTAAAGGAGCCCCTACTTACTAAGTTTTCTAAAGACCCTCCAAGTAAGCCTGCCTAGGCCGAGCCCGTGCGCAGCTTGCCTTGATGAGCCGCATGTGGAAGGCGAGCCCGAGCAGGGCTGACATACTTGGGTGGTTGTCAAAACTACGGTCCCTTTTTGGGTCCCTCATATAATACGGCACCTAGTATTTAGGATACCCAAAAAGGGACCATAATTTTGACAACTACCCACTTGGGTTTTAGGGTTCGGGGCTTTAGGGCTTAGGGTATGTTTAGGGGGTTTTAGGGTTTCAAGGTTTGGGGGTTTAGGGTTTAGGGTTTTAGGGTGTTAGGGTTTTGGGGTATTAGGGTATTCGGGTGAAGGGTTTTAGGGTTAGGGTTTAGGGTTTTAGGGCTTAGGGTTCAGGGTTTTAGGGTGTTAGGGTTTTGGGGTTTAGGCTTTAGGGTCTGCATCCACGGGTGTTGAGTTTCGGGATTTTGAGAAATGACGAATATGATACAGGCGTGATTGAACAGAGATATGCATGTACCTACCTGCAGGAGGAGCACGCAGCTGGCTCAGCAGCTTCCGACGCGGTGATCGCCGAGGATTCATGATGGTACCATCGTGTGTTGCATATTCTTTCGCCAGCCCAGGTTTTCGACTTCGGACGGCTCTCCGCCATCGAACTGAGCCCTTGCCTTGGGCCATTGGGTGCACCTTGTATGACAGGTGTCCGCAGATCTGAGAGCCCTTAGTACGGTTGATGACATAAATCCTGCATTGCCCATAGTACTGGGGGTAACGACTAGACCATAGTTCCCATAGTCCCATAATAAGGACTAAGAAGGACTATACCATAGTTCCCATAGTTTAGGGTCCTTAAGGTAATGCAGGATTGATATCATCAGCCCTAAACCCTCAACCCTAGTCCCAGGCGAGGATGGCCATGACTGGGGAAGCTACCGACGATACTTCAAGGTCAGCTGGGAATTTCGGCAAATAGGGGACCCTCATATAGCACCCTAGATCCTAAGTATAAGGACCCCAAAATAAGGTACCCCTAATTTTCGGAACCCTCCAGTTGAGAGCTCAAAGGGCTGGGAGAGTTCTTGTGAATCGTCATCGCTGCATCAGGAGAGTGATCATGGTGATTTCCTCCACACCCATTCATCTCTCATTGACAAGGCGGGGGCGGTCGCCTAGCTGTAAGGGCTGCTTTGAACCTGCAGATGTTTTCAGGTGGTGTCCAAAGCCAGCGGTACTGCTGTGGCCGTTCTTAACTGCATGGTCACGGCCTCGACATACTCAGAACACCAAAAGCAACACCACGAATGAGAACTCCACTTGTGCACGGGTCGCACACGCTGTGCTTGCCACTGTCATTGTACTGCATAGTGGCATGGCACACAGGCAGCGTCGTAGTCCGGCAGGAGTAGTAACAACACTAACTAAGGCTAGCAGTTTAATTCGCTAGCAGAAGTTGCAGAGTAGCAATAGTAAGGTAGTAGCAGCAGTATCAGCAGCAGGAGCAGTGTCACTAGTGGTGGTGGCGGTGGTGGTGGTGGTGGTGGTAGTGACAGGTAGCGGTTGTGCTGGTAGTAGCAGTCGTAGCAGTACTAGCAGCTAACAGCAGCAGGTAGTAGTAGTGGTAGTAGTAGTAGTAGTAGTAGAAGTAGGGCAGCATATCCTTTGTAAAGCAGTCGAGCATCTCGCATAGGGCACAAATTGCGAGCTTGTTTGGTGTCGTATGCACTGACAACGGTACAAGCCGAACACGAGATTATACCCCAAACCAGGGAACATTTCGGTCAGTAGCAAATGCAGCAACGAGTAATGATAGAGCAGCAGTAGTCGAACAAAAGAGTTTCCGATCGTATGCTGCTCACTGCTTTCTTATCTGGTTTCAAGACGAAAAACAGCAAAAGCAAAGCACGATGTAGCCCGAACGCTGAGGTCAATGTCAGCAATCATGATAGCCCCTTACTGGCACGAGAGAATCGGAAGATCTTTCTCAGGTGATGTGCACGGGCGCTCGGTGGGCAGAATCCCCAGCTCAGCGTTCCCCGCATTTGACAACTTGAGGTTTACAGTTTAGGTTTCCACACCAAGGAACGCAGCTGTGCGGCCGCAATGCTAGAGGTGCTCCATTTACTTAAATGGAGCAGTCGTAAGCCTGAGTTTATGATTTTTGATTTATTTCCGTCAATCCCGTGCCAGGACCTCCAGAAGGCTCACGCGAACAACGCCGAGATACTTCGGGAGGCACGCTTAAGTCTTAGAATCAAACTTCTGTGTTCAGCCGGGCAATCACAATCTAGCATCGAGCTTTTTCGGCCAGCACGTCACGTGTTGACATCGAGAATGTGGGCATCCAGCTGGGGCTCTGGCCTGCAAGCTGAAGCGTGAACTTCTAACCATCATAAGCCCCAAGACATCAGAACACCCAAGCCTCATCCAAGCACTCCAAACTCTGAATCCTCCTCGCCGAGAAATCCATGTCGGTAGCTCTTTCGAGCCTGTATCTGTTCCAAGGCTTAGGAAGCTCTGCTCCATCCTGTTCAGGACAGGCAGTGCAGTCTCCGGCTGCGCATAGTGCCGGCCACAGCAACTCTGAAATGTTGGATGGCACAAGCAGTCTTGTTGGCATGCATGTTGTTGATAACGCCCCTGCAATTACAGGCTCGGCAAAGCATCCCGCACGTGATTCAGCGGAGGCGCTTTGAGTGAGCCGGTTCAGGCTTTGAGAGTGACGATCTTCGAGTTGCAGCATAGGTTCTCGCTCGCTCGCTGGTTCTTTCGATGTCCACATAACCTTCGACAAATAAATGAACGAACACATCAATAGGTAAATGTTTCTTTGTCTCGCTGTCTCTCTCTTTATCTTTCTTCTCTTTCTGTCTGTCTGTCACTTTCTGTGTATACCCTAAAGACATATCAAGACCAACAGAGACCCCTTTGCATGTGAACATAGATAGGATTAAACTATGCATATAAACAAACTCAAACAAATAAGATACAAAACAGCTATAGATAAATGAATGACTAAATTGCCAAATAATGTGTATATGTATCTTCGCATGCATACATGTATGCACATACATGCATATGTATGTAGTTTCAGATCGCACCGGATACTTGCAATGTCGTATTCGTTCCCGGATGCCGCGCAGGCCTGGGGAGATTCTGCCCGAGGAGGAGGAGTTCAAGGCACAGCAGAGAATCCCTCTCAACCGCCGTAAGCCACCAAACCATAAGCAATAAAGCCTGGACCTTCAATAAAGGCAATAATACTAAACCAGAATATGAACATTAAAAAGCAGTACTAGCTAATAAGAAAAGCAATATACGTTAAACCCTAGAGTCCTGTCCTTAGACCAGTGAGCCTAGGCTTTCAAAAGGCACCAGGTGCTCAACTTCCCTTCCTCACTGGTTTGAGGTTCCTTCCAAGTAGGGATGTTTGTGACTGAATTATGTAAGTGCATATAATAATGTACTATATCTTCAAGAGATATTACACGATCTACTATATCGTATATCATATGATGTATTATCTAAAATGTTCTATGACATAATACGACACATAAAATGATACGTCATACTTGTCTTACTCTGGTCTTCAAAGTTCCATCTATGCGTGAGCTGATAACTCAGTGCCTGGAAGCAAACCACCAACAGCAACAACGAAAGCTGACGCAGGTTCTCATCTTGCGTAGCCATCGCAAGGACTCGGCTGTCCTTGAAACGCGTCCTCGAATCTGCCTTGCGCACTGTCATACGTCAGCCTGCCAGGAAGCACAGAGGGAAGCCACCGCCTACAAAGCTGAAAGCTTGGTCTTCGATCCTTCTTCATATTGGCTTTCCGCGCTTGTATGACTGACTTTCTCAGATCTTGCATTCGGCAAGGCTGGATCGAAAGTCGAAGTTCTTCATGACGGGAGGCCGGCCCACAGATGTGATGTGGCCCTGACGCAGCATGGCTGGCTGTGTCTTGATGGTTGGCACATCACCGATTTGGAGGTTTCAGGAAGTGATGGGCTCATACGCAGAACCGCAAATAGGGTATTTAACGTATTTTCTGAAGCTCTCGTGGTAGGTGGACCGAAGCGACTGTGGATGAGAAGGTGCCAGAGGAGGAGTCTTGACGGACATGAGATGAGTGACAGCCGTTGAAATGAATCAGTTCAAATGCTGATAGCCTTGATCAAAGCATCGGCCCCCATTTTATGAGATGCGTCTGTAGCAATGGTGCTGACTGACAGGTACGGTGACGAAAGCACAGCTAAAACAGCTACAGAGGACAACAATCATCACTTCAGCCATAAATACAGATTTCTGATTTGGGTTGGCAGCCACAGTGCAAGCTGTAGTCGCGATGATGTTGGTGACGCGAACGAAGACAATGATTTCAATGCTGCTGTACGATATGGAATAGCATAGTGTTGCAATGATAACTTACTGGTACCAGCCAGCACTACTGAAGAAACAGCGTTTTGTTCATTAGCTGTCGTATTCCTAGGCCTGTTTTTACACACGGCAGTGCTAATACGCGTGGTGTGCTATTCACTATCATCTTTCTTTTCTTCTTATCATCAAAATCATGTCCATCGTTGTCATCACCATCACCCACTATCACCATCGTTTGCACCATGTCCGATTGTGCTCATGAAGCTTAGGAAACGACCAACATCAGACCAACATCGGAAGCCTTGTTAGCAGAGCTCAACCTCTCTTCCGCGTGCCGATACAAAATTACTATTGCCATTACTAGTGGTATTGCTTTTACTATGACCATTAGTAGTAATCATTTGTTACTATTACTATTAATCGTAGTGGTCTTCTTGGTTAATTAATGTGATTGCTGATCTTATTGTTGTTTTATTCTTCTTGTTATTGTTACAGAATGGTGGCTTGAATAATCATCTGAGCGAAAGCTTTTCGACAAGCACCCCAAAACGTAGAACACGCTTGTTATTTGAGCGAACAAAGCAGGCCCTCACGCCCACCTACACTCTATGATGATGATGACGATTATTATTATGATTATGATTATGATTACGATGATTTATATGCTCCATGTCAAAAGCCTGCGCAGGATGCGTCAAAGGTCAAGGTCAGATGGCCGGACACATCCGTCAATGAGTACGAGGCCCATGAGGCCCGTGACATTGAAGAGAGGTCCAGTCACAGTCTGCAGTCAGCCCTGAACCCTAAAACCCTAAAGCCCGAAACCCTAAACCCTAAAGCCCTAAGCCCTAAAACCCTAAAGCCCTTAACCCTAAAGCCCTAAAGCCCTAAACCCTAAACTTTAAACCTGGTTCCGGTTTGTGATCCGCCGATGGATTGAACCTTCGAGCGCTTCTTCCGTTCTGCAATGGGTTTTCGGAGCGCCTTCTGGATCTTAATCCTGCTGCTTCTGGTCGTGGAAATTTTTCTGATGCAGTGGTAGTAATAATAATACTGATGAAAATACAAGCAATACTACGGATAATGCTAATGAACAACTGTAATCCACTCCTTTGGAGCCTGAATTCGATAGCATCTGAGCTCCCTTATCGCGGAAACCTGCCCGAGCTACTACGTTGCACTGCCACTGCATGGTTTTGTGCATGGTTTTGTGCCTGTTCGAGACGGAAAACAGCAAGTCTTCATGCGCATGATATGCATATCTTCCTTAAATATGGCTTCGAGGTCAGACTCCTGCCGGTGGATGATGTTCTCGTCATCTATGCAGCCGAGCCTTGGAGGTGTGGCGGAGGTTCACATTTTAGGGTTTAGCGGGTTTAGGGTTTAGGGTATTGAAAGTTGACCAGGAGCCACAAAGTCCGTCCAACATCTGCTTGTCAGGAGTCGGCCCTGCTTGAGATTTATAACCCCACTTATAATTATAACTACCCATGAACCTCCAAGTAAGCCCTAAACCCCATACCCTTATAGAATCCCCCTATAGATCCCTTTAAAGGGACCCTGGGAACCCTTATAACTACCCATGAACCTCCAAGTAGACCCGAAGCCAAGCCGCGCCGTTTCGTCTCCGTGGGGTGCTCCGGCTCTGAAGCTTCGGCTTCAGCAGAGACTCTATGGGAGTTTCCGAAAATTAGGGGGTACCTTTAAAGGGATCCTTATATAGGGTTCCTTAACGGGATCTATAAGGGTTCTATAAAGGCTTTAGGGTTTTTAGAGTTTCCGAAAATAAGGGCTGCCTTAGTTTGGGGTCCTTGTAATACGGTCCTACTTAGGGTGCCATATGAGGGTCCTTCGGAAACTCCCATAGATCCGTTCTGGCATTTTCTCGTGCTCAATAGAGTATGGGGTCCAGGGGTTTAGAGAAATGGAAGGGCACTGCCCTGGGTCCGGGGGGGAGAGATCCCAGCTTTTAACGGGTTCCCAAAAAGGGTACCAATATGGTGTAGGGGTTAGGCTTTCGGGTTTTTCTACGGGTTATTGCGCCTTATACTGTAGACCCTGATGGACCCGGCTTTCGGGTTAATTCTGGGTTATGGTACCTTATTACAAGACTCAACTTGTGCGAAGGCGGCAGTGTGCAGCTCTTCGCTTTTTGGCAAGAGGGGCCGATGCAGCCGGCCAGCTGGCTCAGCATTCTGGGTTCTTGTCAAGGAATTTAATCTAAGTTACCATAAGAAGGACCTATAGAACATAAGGTTGATGCTTTATTATGGTAACTTCAATTAAATCCCTTAGCGAGAATCCAACATATTCCTGGTCTTTCTCCGTCTCTGGTGAGAACATGGGAGGTTGTCTAAATTATGCTCCCTTCCTGGGTCCGTAATATAATATGTAAGATGGCACCTACTATATAGGGTACCCAAGAAGGGGACCATCATTTTGACAACCGCTCACATATCGTCTCGCTTGGCCTAGATAAGGTGACGGTGGCACCAAAGCCTTGCGGGACCCGAGCGGCAGAATGTGACTGATGTTGTTGGATGTCGGTTGTTGGGACAAGCAACAAGGGGCCATCCCCTGTGGAGGACATTGGCAAAATCAAGGTCGTGAACAAGGAACGTTCCGGCCTAAGCTGTGCCTCCTGATGACGTGAGTAGTGCAGCCTTTTTGCGTCCGTTCCTGTGGCCTTGCAGTGGCAGGTTTGCAAATCGAAGAGGTGGAACAAGAAAAAGGGAGCTCTGACATTCTCAAGAAGGTCTCGCACAGCATGCCGACCTCTGAGCAGATAGCTTCTGAATCTCATTCCCCTGCCAGGTCAGCAAGCGAATCGCTCGTGCATCGCAATGCGGAGTTGAGGCCGCACTGTCTTCAACACACCACTGCTGGGTAGATGTTGTGCAATCCACTTCGTCGTTTTTGTCCATACATCTCCTGAGGCCGTTGCCGACTGCGTGGTGTTGTTTGCCGCTCAATTTCGGGGTGGACGGATGAAGTGTGTTTTATGGCATCTTCCAACTTACCGAGAGCTGATTCTTCTCGTGGAGCGGGATGCTTGTAGTCTTTTTTGCAACATTGTCGGTGACATTGCCCGTGCTAATAGCACGAAAAAGCCATACTCAGCCTGTTGCGGTTCACTGCTTTCTCTGCACAGGCAATTTTCTTGCTTCGCCCCTTGCCCAGAGAATCTCAAGGATGCAAGAGCTTCAGGACAGAGCTGATGCTTAACAGCACCTTCAAGATGCAGACACAAATGCAGGGACTCTGTCTTAACCCCAACCCCTAAACCCCTAAACAGCGGAACCCCAAACCCTAAACCCTAAATTGGCCCTAAGCCCTAAGCCTTAGCCCTACATGTGCGACTCCGAGGCACGGAGATCAGGATGCTCGCAGCAGCGCCAAGCCCGGGGCCTTTCCGGTCTCTGCTCCATGCCATGTTCCGCTCCAGGGTATAGTATAGTATTGGCATGAGTATTAGTAGCATACTATAGTATATATATATATATATATATATATACATATATATATATATATACAGACACTGTTACTTGGCATTCCTCTGGTTGGCTCTCAGGACTTTATATAACTTTTTGGTTTTCTATAAACATATATATATATATATACACATTTATATTTATATGGGCAATAGTAAGGAAGCTATATATACAAAAGTTTATATGTACAACTTTTTCGAGGAATTCAGAACAGAAGTCAGCCAAAGTTGAACATGCGTCACACCGAGTTAGGGAAGGGCCTGCCGTGTCTTTTGAACCCTTCCCCTTTCCTGGTGTCACACCGAGTTAGGGCAGGGCTAGGTTCCTGGAGGCACCGTGTGGCCTTCAAATGACATGCTGCGCATTCACTTTTTGTGCTGCAAGAGGAAGCGACATGCCACGCCTGTGGTGAGAGTGCATTTTGAGTTTTTTGGCTGTATAGACAGATTGTGGGCAAGGGGTGTAAATCTCGTGTTGATATATGAGAGAGAACGTGGATCTCAGGTTGGACTGGCGGCCTCGGCTGCAAAATGTGGAGGCCGACAGCCTGACCAACGAAGCTTTCGGAGATTTCTCGCCGAGCCTTGGCTCATTTTAAGTTCGACTGTGCCAGCCAATCAGCTAATCATGAGGGTGTTGTATTATCATTCCTTCATATACGTGGGGGCTCTTGAAAAGTCTTGAGGCTTTTGCGAAGCCTCGTGGTGCCTTCATGTGCCCTTGCAGCAATCGGCGGCAGCAGTTGCAGATAGAATATTTCTGGGTGGGGTGGGTGGACACCATGTCTGCAAAAGCCAGTGCCTGCATTGACTCTACTCTCATGAATGTGGGAAGGAAGAGCGTCCGTTGAATGATGCAGTCTGCAGGAAACAAGGCTTTATGGCTGCATTTACGTTATCTGCCGCGTTTTAAATCAGAGGCTCCAATTGCAGGCCGCCACCCTTCTGCGCTGCCTGGCTGCTGCCGCTGGCGCCGTTCGCACAGCTCTGTCCCGCTCTTGGCGTGGACGGTATTTAGGTGGTTGAGTTTATAAAATTAGTTCGGAGGCTGTAGTCTAAGCCCCCCGCCCTAAGGCCCAACTCGTTGCCGAATGGGATGGCAGGAGCCATTTCAGGGTGGACCTCGACTGCGTAAGATTCCCTGTCTGATAAAGCTCAATGCAGATAGGGAGTGCTCAGCAAACAGTTTCCTGACAGATTTGAGAATGCAACATGCTGCCCAGCAGCTGTTTGACGCATGAAACTCAATTCAGATAGGGAGTAATTACTCGAACATGGTTTCCTTAGAGCACGGTGATATTGCCTACACCGACAGTACCTCGGAGGACATGCTCAGCTTCAAAGCTTTGGTGGACCTGCTGTATCCTGGAGAGGGTGAGGAGGTCATGAGCCACCAGTTCGAGCTTGTGAAGGAGACGTCAGTTTTGGCCACGCTAAAGCCGCCGAGCTATATGCTTGGCCACTGTGGCAGCCACCCATGGGGGCGTTGGCCACTGTGGCAGCCTGCATCGGGGCTTTGGCCACTGTGGCAGCCACCTTCGGGCCAACGCCCCCATAGCCCGAGGGGTATGACAGCAGGGCGATGCGCTAATGCGCCCGCTGCGGCCTAAACGGAGGACTGGTGGCACACCGGACCTCTCGGTGGCATCCAACAACGGAGGCCTCGAGCTTGAATCTTGTGACATGGCTGTGTTGTCTTGCCTTTTGGCTTCTGTGAGAACGTGCATGAGGGGTGCTTGCATATGCAAAGCGTAGTATTCACAAGAATACTTAACTTTGCTCTTCAGGTCTCGGAGGACATGGACCCCAAAAGCCACGAGCCCGAGATTGCAAAGTCGCAAAGCTGTTGCTTCAGGGCTGCACCGTGGACACGTGTCTTCTGAACCCTTCCCCTTTCTTGGTGTCACACCGAGTTCGGGTACGGCTAGGTTCCTGGAGGCACCGTGTGGCCTTCATTTTGATATATATATATATATATTTGTATTTATACTATGTATATATGTATATATATATATATATGTATATATATATATATGTATATATGTATATATATATATATACATACACATACATATATATGTATATGTATATGTATATGTATATGTATATGTATATGTATATGTATATGTATATGTATATGTATATGTATATGTATATGTATATGTATATGTATATGTATATGTATATGTATATGTATATGTATATGTATATGTATATGTATGTATGCATGCATGTATGTATGTATGTTCAAGTATGCATGAAGAATATGAAGAAGCACGCATAGCCAGAGAACAGTCGGTTCACTTTATGGCCACATGTGTCAACAATGTTACTCGACCATGGAGAATCGGTGCATTGTGACGATGCAGGAGGAAATGCAACAATGACATGCTGCGCATTGGCTTTTTGTGCTGCAAGAGGAAGCGACATGCCACGCTTGCAAATAGTATATCATAAGAAGGGTTGAGTTTCCGGTATGTCGCTGACGGAAGAATATACATCATTCCTTGATATTTACAGGGGTTCCTGAGGAGTCTTTGGGCTTTTGCGAGGTTTCGTGGTGCCTTCATCTGCCTTTCAGTGGTTGGTGGCATTAGTTGCAGATAATGTTTGATCCGCAGTGCTATAGTGTTGGTTGTATGCGCGGAGATGATGATCATGTTTCTGAGCCGCGCCCGATCTCGACCTAAACCTGAGCAGCGCTGGCCGAGGGGGCCCTAGAGACCTGCCAGGTTCCACCTTGTTGGGCGTTGGTGGGGGCAGTGATCCGCTGAGCTATATGCTTGGCCACTGTGGCAGCCACCCATGGGGGCGTTGGCCATTGTGGCAGCCTGCATCGGGGCTTTGGCCACTGTTGCAGCCACCTTCGGGCCAACGCCCCCATAGCCCGAAGGGTATGACAGCGGCGCGATGTGCTAATGCGCCCGCTGAGGGTGGCCTCAACGGAGGACTGGTGGCACACCGGACCTGTGGGTGGGATCCAACAACGGAGGCCTCGATCTTGAATCTTGTGACATGGCTGTGTTGTGTTGCCTTTTGGCTTCTGTGAAAACGTGCATGAGGGGTGCTTGCATATGCAAAGCGTAGTATTCACCAGAATACCTAACTTTGCTTTTCAGGTCTCGGAGGACATGGACCCCAAAAGCCACGAGCCCGAGATCGCAAAGCTGTTGCTTCAGGGCTGCACCGTGGACACGTGTCTTCAGAACCCTTCCCCTTTCTTTGTGTCACACCGAGTTCGGGCAGGGCTAGGTTCCTGGAGGCACCGTGTGGCCTTCATTTTGATAGTTACATATGTATATGTATGTTCTTGTATGTTTCTTTATTTATAAGACCTTAGCCGTACCCCTTACAGTCATATTGTAGCATATTTTTTCTATATGTATATGTTGTATATAGTATATCTTCTATATACAGGGCGCCGTCGGCACCCAAAGACCAGGCGCCACCCGGCACCTTCCTGGCAAGACGCCGTTCGGCACCTGTCAACCCTCCTATATAAAGCACCGATCGGCACCTGTCCACCCTCCTAGGGCGCCGATCGGCACCCACCATGTAAAAAAACCGAATCCTGTATTCATATAACCTTATATAAACCCTGAGAGAACTGTTTGTCCGAATATCTCAAACGTAGGGGCCTGCCGCGCGGTTATACACCTGTTATAAAACGCATCGCAAGTTCTGGGGGTTGTATCTGCAAGTGCGGATGGCGGATCACATTGAACCAAAAAGATTCTATCTGTTTGGTTTTACACGGATGGAAATATTCTATTTGCAAGTGCGCGACGTTGGTAAAAGTGGCCGAAAATATTCTATTTTTTTATGCGGATGGAAATGTTCCATCTGCAACTGCGGAGGGTTGGTAAAATCGGTCTTTTTAGCAAATCTAAAAAATACTCTATCTGTACGTGCTTGAAATATCATATTCTATCTGCAAGGTTCCCACTATAATATAGTGTCATAAGTTTTACTGTAGTATTATGTCGTATAGTATAGTATAATATAGTATGGTAGCGTATCGGATCAGGTTTCCCACGCCCTAGGCTCCTCCTGGGTTGGGCGATGCGACAACGTGGCGACCCGCTGGCCGAGGCCTTTCTCGTTGCATTTTAGTTTCTTATAATATCTTGTAGTATCTCTTAATACCTTATAGTATCTTATAGTATCTTATAACATATTGTAGTATCTCATGGTATATTACAGTATATTACAGTTTACTATTGCTAGGGTATATGTCGATTTTGCAGCGGGATACTGCAGGACCTTGTCTGTATGCCTCTTGCCCAATGCTGCTTGCGAGTTGACCAAGCCTGCGGATGACATTGGCATGCTGGAAGTGGGAGAAAGTGACGTGAAGGCCGCGTTTCGTTGTTGAAAGTTCCTTCGGACTCCATTACTAGCACCTTCCTGCCACCAGGCACTGACGGAGGAGATTGTGGAGGAGGTTGAAAAGAAGGCGACGCGCTCTGCAGTCGGCCATTTGTGTGTGAAATGTCGTGATTCAAGTCGTGATCCTCGCTTTTTGACCTGTGCGAGGCAAACGTGTATCTCTTCGTGAGAGATGATGTTAGCCAGCCAGGGCCCCATGCAGTGTTCGGCCAAATGGATGCTGAGCCAGGGGGAGGGCGGGGATGATCAGCGCGCTTATGCATGGTTGGATTTGCAGGGCCTCTGCGGTGCCTTGATTCCCCCCCGAAGGCTCTGGAAATTTCACCTGATACTCCCCAAGCCCTGACCTAAACCCCCGGTAGAAAGTTTGAACCCTAGACCCAAAGTCCTAAACCCGGAATCCTCAACACTGATGTTGACCTAAAAATTTGTCGGTCATGTCATGCATGTCGACTTGCTGAGACGTCAAACCTAATGCTGCGTGAACGCCTGTCGCTTAAGAGCAGTCGATCAGGCAGCAATACAAGTACGGCGACAAGAGTCTTGTCCAGACCGGCAAGATTTTCATTTTTGGTTGTTATTAATATTTGTAGTAGTAGTAACAGCAGTAGTAATTAGCAGCAGTAGCAGCAGTAGCAGCAGTAGCAGTAGTAGCAGTAGTAGCAGCAGCAACAGGAGCAGGTGCAGCAAGAGCGGGAGCCGGAGCAGGAACGGGAGCAGGAGCGGGAACAGGAGCGGCAGCAGGTGCAGGTGTAGGAGCAAGCGCAGGAGCAGTAGCAGTAGTAGTCATGCTGGCGGTCGTTTTGGTGATGGCGGTGGTGGTGGTAGTAGTAGTAGTAGTAGTCGTCGGAGTAGGAGGAGGAGAGGGAGGGGCAGGGGGAGCGGGAGGGGAAGGGGGAGGAGGAGGAGAGGAGGACGAGTCGTAGTAGTAGAAGTGGTGGTGGTGGTGGTGGTGGTGGTGGTGGTGGTGGTGTTGGTGGTGATGTCGGGGGTAGGAGGGCACATGAGGCCTACTGGTCACTAGTCTGGTTGTTTCAAGACGCATTCTGGTTTGCTTAAGTTTCGTAGGACCAGCAGAGTCATGAAGCGAACTTGAAGAACGACCATCCGAGGATTGAGTTCTTGTGGGTGCAGGATGGGCAGTCGGAAGCGAGTGGGAAGTGGAGCGACGGCACGTGCGACCGGCATGTCAGCAGAGCTTCCAAGAAGAGTTCGTGATTTCGAAGTCTATTACCATCCTCACTGCAGGTTCATCCGCCGATGCGTTGGCGAGGGCAATGAGGTCAAAGTAAGCCTGCAGCTCGGATGTCGGCAGCGTTCAGCGTCCCAGTCGTGTCGGAACTTTAACCGCCAGAATACGAGCACCAACAGAAGAACTTCGAGACTGCGGTGCCGCTCAAGCATGTGAGGCCCATCCTCACTGTTTTCAGAAGTGAGAGGTGTATACATTGCCTGCATTGTGTGCCGCATCCGCCGGCAGGCCTGAGCAGAGCCGGCTTCTCAGGCATAGGGAGAAGAGCAACTACAGCGCCATCAAGAAAACAAGTAGTACTATCACGTGCTATCACCATTATTGTCACTGTTATGTTGTCATCTCAGAGCTAGTATTATTGTTGCCATTGTTGTTTAACTTATTGCGACGACGACTACTACTACTCCTCCTCTTGCTGCTGCTACTCAAGCAGTCGAACCTCGATATGCCCAGGCAAGCGGCCCAAGCCAACGATTCTCATCTACTGCCGCGAGCGAAGCCGTGAGCTCAATTTTGTCAATACCATCTTGGCTGGGGCTCCCCAAGGGACCCCGATTTGGAACCACCCCCCAGGGCGTAGATAGACCTAAACCCTAAACCTGAAATCCTAAGCGCCAACGACTCTGCAAGGCAGCGTTCGCAGTGGCCTGCTTCTTGCGCAGCGGACCTTGCAGGCCGCCTCGCAAGTAAAGTCACGGTCACTACTTGGAGGTTCATGGGTAGTTAGAAGTGAGGTTATAAGTCCCTAATAGTTCCCTAATATGGGTTATGAGTTTAGTTACCCTACTTATACAGTAACCCTACTTATAACTAGCCACGAACCTCCAAGTACCAATGAGCTCCGTCATCTTCGTTCAGGCACGACTGAGGGACGCGGTTGGGCGAGCCTCAACCGGCCGTGCTCCAAGAATACCTCGCAGAGTTCCCACTGCAAGACCGTAATGTCTTTATTGAGACGAGGTATTCGAAATCAATCAGCGCTTGTGTTAAGTTTTTGTGCTTTGCACTTGATGCTGTTGCCGTATGGTTGCTTCTGTTTTTCTGCCTGTCATCTCTCTAGCACTGTTCTTGTAGGACTTGTTGTTACAGCGTCCTATGGAAGTGCAAACTTCAAGTCAGAGCCTTTTGGGGCCGTGGGCGAAGAACTTTCAGCGATACCAAGGTCAGGCGTGGTACCGTGACAAGGACACTTTGCATCATGGGCAATTTGTAGGGCCTTGTAGCAGATTGCACGCGAGCCCTTGCGCTGAATGTGGGTGGTGTGCAGGGAATGTCTGGCGGCAAGGGCAAAGGCAGCGCAATGCAAGCACTTGACCTGTTTCGAATGGTAGTTTGAGCAGGTTCATTTTGTGTTCGAGTTCGTTCCTCGCCGCAGGCAAGAGACAGGATTGGCAGAAGAGTGATTGGAAGTCGAACAGCAGACAGGACTGGGGTCAGCGCGAGGATTGGAAGGCGAAGACGGATTGGAGTCAGAGCGACTGGCCGAAGAAAAGCTGGAACAAGAAGGATGGCTGGGATTCTTGGAAGAAGGACAGCTGGCAGTCAGGGCAGCAGAAGGATTGGAAAGGCTCGAACTCCAGCTGGTCCCAACGCGACTCAGGCGGGATCTTGATTCTTTGCTTCCTCCGTTATCCGCACTCCGAGATCAAATGCCCTCGTAACCCATAAGCCATTCATCGACCTCAAAACCTCTGGGACCAGGGTGGAGCCAGAGTGCAAGCAGCTCGCATGTCGGGCTCCCGGCGCCATTTGCAGCGGCAGCAGCAGCCGCCTCATCATCTGTTTGTTACTATCCGGAGTTGTTGTTTTGTTACTTGCTACGATGATTGCATCTTGCTGTTGTTTGGGGGTCCACTGTTTCTACCTCAGTTGTGATGTATATTATAGTATACTATACTATAGTAGTATACTAATAAGTCTATACTATACTGTACTATACTATATAGTTACTGCGCCCATTGTCTTGTTGCCAGCGTCCTGCAAAAGGCCTACGACAGTGGGGGAGATGGCCCAGGTGGGAGTCCCGATTTCTTCAGTCCCTTAGTTTTAGGGTTCCTTTCAAAGGGGTCTATATGGGATCTATGCTCGGGTTGTATAATATAGGATGATTAGAACAGGGTTTTGGACTTGCAGAGAAGAAGAGTAAGCACGACTAAGACTAGCGTTTTCTGTCCCATCATGTCTTCGTTCTTTAACTGTAGCCATGCTGCACCCCACGCCCGTCTTCGCAGGTGGCTGGAACTCTGGATCCATGTCTGGACCTCGCGTTTCTGGTTTTCGGTTGCAGGTTTTCGGGGGTTGGAATCAGGGTGTGGTGTTTGGTGGGCTTTGAGTTTCATCGCACCACAGCGAGTCTCCCTCCGTGAGGTCCTTGTCCCCGGCTGGGACCTGAGCATTCTTTCTCGGGAGTTTCCGAAAAAGGGGGTACCTTATGTTGGGGTCCTTAGAATAAGGTTCCTACTATTTCGGGTGCTATTTTAGGGTCCCTCTGTTTTCGGAAACTCCCTTGTAGAAGTCCGAATTCTGGAAGCATCTTGAAGCCCATCGAACGTCAACCGAGGAACCTGTGCCTGGAACTTACATCCGTACTAGGGGCTGGCAAGGGGGGACTTTTCATGGCTGATGCACAAATCTGCACTGGAACCAAAACTCTAGCCTTTATCTATCGAGGCAATCCTTGGAGAGTGCTCAGCAGCAGTCCTGGCCGAGTTTGGCCTTGTGCGTCTGGCTCTGCATTGCATTGCTTTGGACCTGCCAGGGAGGCCGTCGAACTCGAGGCGCGTTTGCAAGACTGTTGCTCGGCGAGCATTTTTTTGAGACGAGGGGCCAGATAGATAGAATAGATAGAATAGATAGAACAGATAGAATAGATAGAATAGATAGAATAGATAGAATAGATAGAGTAGATAGAATAGATAGATAGCGCATTCTGAACCGCCAAGCTGTTCTACATGCTGGAACTGAGATTGGATCAACGTGCCGGAGCACGAGATGCACTGGCCTCATTTTGTCTGCTTCTGACTGGACAACGACAGCTGTCTCGCTCAGGCCCCAGACTGTGGCAAACTGGGAGATCAACCAACCCAGGTCGGGGTTTGTCAATCTGCTTTCTCTGGGAAGGAGTGGCCTTGCGCTTCGGAGGTTCTTCGGCGGAGCGAAGAGACTTCCTGCTTCGTGGCTTCGGATGATCTCGAAGGGCAGCCGAAAACTCTACTACACGGAAGTCGCTGCCCTGGACTTGCATCAACCGCTTGTAGGCTCAGATTCTGGCAAGCCTCCCCATCACATGCTTGGTATGAGGTGACGAGCATGAGGAGCACCTACGACCTGAGAGTTGTTTTCGGCGTTGCGAACGAAGACGCCACATGAAAATCAGCAGACAAGCATGTGGCAAGGGCCAGAAGGCACGGCAGGGAGCCACTACGAGTGTCGCACAGCCCGTCACGCCGCTGCCCTTGGCTTACAGAAGGCGAGAGTTGAGCCTCTTTGCGTCTCTTTGCAAGGCTGCGTGACAAATCCCCCAAGAAGAATGTTTCGCTCGGATTCCGATAGCAGCAGCTGATTGTGGACATCACCGTAGTACTTCGGCCAGACCTTCATTCTGTCGGGGGCAGCATGGCAAGGGTAGAGCAGAATTCGAAAGATGAGCGTCATGCGGCCCTCACCTCGGCAGTGAGAGACTTCACGTGCCACGCAAAGGAGGGAGGGAGATGAGATGTCCAGGTGCATTTATTCCCGTTGCAAGAAGCACGTCCGCGGCTTTGACAGGTCTTGCAGCCGTCCAAGGATAAAAGGAGGGACCCTTAATACGGACCCCTAGGTATATAACCTTGATATACCCCTTATACAGCCCGTTATAAGGTAGGGATCCCCATGAAGGGTCCCTCCTTTTGCCCTTTTGCATCCGGAGCCCAGGGCGCAGGGTTTGGAAAGCACTGTGCTAAGGCGGGGTGAAAGGCAGCGACTTCCTGGATGCTCTGCACGAGGCCCTGTTGAAAAAGGGACCCGGGGACTCCAATATCCCTTAGTCAAGGAAGATACCTTAAATCATATAAAAGAGATCCGGCTATAATTTAAGGTATTCTTTTATTAAGGGATATACCTTAAATCATATAAGGCATCCCACTACAATTTAAGGTATATAGTCTTTAACTACGGGATATTGGAGCCTCTGGAGCCAAGCACTAGGATCTGCGGTCCCACATGAGGGCGCATCTTCGCTCAGCCAGGCCCAGCATCGATACCCCATCCGCGAAGTTTGGGGCTCTTCGCAGAGGCAAGGGGGGCCCTAAGCCCTAAACCCTCTAAGCACTATAAACACTACAAGCCCTAAACCCTATAAACCCTAAGCCCTATAAACCCTAAACCCTACAATTAACCGCTAAACCCTATAAACCCTAAACCCTATAGGCACTAAGCCCTATACCCGATAAACACTAAACCCACCGCACCAAAGAAAGAGATTAAGCAGAGGCCGCGGGAGCAGCGAATGCATGGGAGTCAGCCCAGGTTGCCCAAGAAGCTTACGGAGTACATGAGTTTGCGTCTCGAGATCGCTGATGTTTTCTGCTATGAAATGATCTTGGGAAGTCAGCGGATTGAAAAGGTGCTGCTTGCCAAGAATTCTCAGCGCCAATCCGCCAGGAGGCCTTGTGTTCAGAAGCCCAGGAAGTCTCTTGCTTGCCCTTTCTGCAGTCTGCAGGCAATTCTGCTTTTGAAGCGCTACGTCTACCATCAGGCTTGAGCATGAACATTGAAACCATCTGTGTAATATGGGGGCCTCAATACTTACCAATACCACTTTGGGGGCTCCTTATTAGAACTATAGTATAGTGGGCCCCAACACCCCATTCTCATCATTAAGGCCCCTATATTATTATTATCATTATTATTATTATCATCATTATTATTATTATCATCATTATTATTATTACTATTTCGACAGCTCGACAGCTTTGGCCGCCTTGGCCAGTGCTAGGCCCAGCTTCCAGTCGCCAAGCCACGGAATCTACAGGCCATGTGCCGGGGCCGGAGTACATGCTGGTCCTGTCCCTTGCGGTTCATATATTCTGAGCATGAGGGCCCCTATAATGTAGGGGCCCTCATGATTAGAATAGGGTTTTGGGGGTTCCTTATTGATTATAATCATAGTATAAATAGCCCCCCAGACCCCATTACCATTCTAATTATCAAGGCCACTACATTATGCCTTGAGACTGGCTCCGTGAGCGCGAAGGAGATTCAACTTTTCTGCAAAGGATGGCACACATTCCCCAACTCAGGCAGTTGAAGCACCCCTACAACCCTAGACCCTAAACCCCTAAACACTAAACACTACACCGGCCTAGGCCGCAGTATCCAGGCTTCACCTTGTAGCCTTCCTCCGGGACCCTAAACCTCGGAAGCCTAAAGTCCCAGACCCTGAACACTTCTTGTCCCCATGGGTCGGCCTTCCGTCTTCCATGGCGATCGACCGGAGCTGTGTCTGTGTCAGGAGCCCAATGTGCATGGTTCAGTGATTTTAGGGGTTTCGTAAGGTTCCTTCGGGTTTGCCGAAGTTCGAACAGACTAGATATGTTTGGGGGGGTTTACATTACAGGGCTGTAAGCGCTGCAGAATCTAGGTCCAATCCGTCTTCAGGTGACGTAGGCTTCGAAGTATAGCTAAATAGCGGCAACCACAGCTGCGCACACAGCTGTCGAACCACCTGCTTACTGTCGGCAGGATGAATCGGTTCCCCGCATGGCCTCTGCAGCCCCCTGTCTAAGGTCAACATGACAAAGGCCAGTGGCAAATTCGGGGCTTGCGATGCAACAGTCGGGTCTTTGAGTCTGAGCCCTGAAGTTAGGCTGCAGCCCAGCAACCTGTGTCGGGAGGCTTGGTTGCTGGCCATCTCCAGCTTGCAACTTGCTGCCGAAGGTGGAACACTTGCCTGTTGAAGTTTCAAGATGAGTACAAGTATTAGTATTTGGCCTGCATTCCTGCGTGCTTTGGAGGCTCCAGCGCAGCCGGTGTGGACTGCGCAGGGGGCTTATACCGCTTTGATGTCACTGTCAAAAAAACCTGGTTAAGGGTTGTGGGTTGTGGGTTGTGTTATATATGTATATGCTACGGTTTGGGGAATAGGGCTTGACTCTGAAGCATCAGTAAACATCCCGCACCCACCACTTTAAACGCCTCTGTGATTTTTCCGGAGGTCTGGAAAGCAACTCGGCCATGGCAACCGGAAGATCACGGCTGCACTCGTCTGCAGGCGATGCAGGCCCCTGCAAGACAAAGCTGGCTTCGAGGTTGCTTCGAATCCCTCTGTTTCATCCGAATCAAAATGCCAAAGGAGCCCGGACCCCAAACCCTAAACCCTGGCGGAGGCAAAAACGATGCTGAGGCAAAAGGAGCTCAGAGGAAAAGAGCAAAACACCCGAAAGCCAAATGCCGCTCCTCAACCCGACAGAGCTCCAAACGTTCCTGGAGACATCAAGTGTCCAATCCCCTGCATTCCGAAGCCGCTCTGGCCTAAACGAGCCCAGCCCAAACCATCCTGGAGCGCCCTTAATAGTCACCCTCCTGGTACCTAACGCAAACCCTGAACCCAAAAAGCCCCAAGTGCCAAAACAATCAAAAACGTCGTCATTAGGGTGGTTGTCAAAATTATGGTCCCTTGTTGGGCCCCCACTATGGTAGGGCACCTACTATTTAGGGTCCCTAATTTTGACAACTACCCTCAGCAGGCTGCGGACGTCCCTCCGCATCAGCTGGCCAGTACTTTAGCCTCCTTAAGCCAGCTGCGGGAGCTGCACTTGCTGGGCCCTGAGATGCTATGGGAAACTCGGAAAACTATCCTAGCTTTTCTTTTTTTGGGTGAATCTCACTATCCATTTTGAAGTTGGGGTTTTAAAGTGGGATCGCCTGTTTTCCGAGGTTCACACATGCACGGCTTCTGAGGCTCCTTTCTCTGCTACAGTCTGCTTGTCGTGCTGGCTCCTGTTGCTGCTGTTGTGCTCATTGCCGTTGACGATCGTTGTTGCAATGGTTGTAGCCTCTACTTTCGTCGTCGTCCTCGCTGTGGTCCCTGGGTAATGACACTTGACTTTCAACGATTCCTGTTGCTTTGGTTGCTTTTCGGAGTGTTAGTCTAGAAAAAAGCTCACAGATGCCAGCCGTTGTGAGATTGCGTTTGCACTTCAACATTCCTTGGCAACCTAAACCCTAAACTTAAACCCTAAACCCCTAAACCCTAAACCCCTAAACCCTAAACCCCTAAACCCTAAACCCCTAAACCCTAAACCCCTGAACCCTAAACCCTAAACTGCCCGAAGAGGTCCAGCCTGCAACTGGGCGACGCGCGGATGCAAGAGATCGCCGGAGCCTGAGCTCCTCGCTATGGGAGTTTCCAAAAATAGGGGTACCTTATTTTGGGGTCCATATAATACTTCTGGGGTGTAAAACGATCAAGCCAAGGGCACAAATCACGCAGCTCTTTTCAGCACGCGATCTTTACCGAAACTAGTTTCGCCGTCGAGCGGCTTGTTCAATCGGATTCGGTGCTGTACGGCTTGTTTTAAATTCAAAACAGATCCTACTATTTGGGGTACTATACTGGGGTCCCCTATTTTCGGAAACTCCCCAGCGCAGCCGACCGGAAAACCCGAAGCTGCCCCAGGCCGACCTCTTCTCCTTGGGTCTGGATCTGATATTCCCACAGACTCCGAGATCCCTTAGTTAACATAATATTATATGATACTAGGACAACTACTATGATTTAGGGTATAGTCTTAATTAAGGGATCTTGGAGTCTCTGGGTTCCCGGTTCCCTCGCTGTTCTACCCGAGCTGTGCTCCTCAGGAACCTTTCCCCATCTCCAGTGCCTCTATCTGGCCCACAATAGTCTCGGAGCCTCTGCCTGAGCTTCGCATCCCTCCGGGGTTGAAGGGGGGCCGTTTCCTTTTTGGGGGGGCTTCGCTGTCAGGCCGCGGGTGCGACAGCCTTGGCCAAAGCCTTGCGCCTTGCCAGCAGAGACCTGGACACCGGGGCCTACAGACCGTATGCTCTAAGCCCCATAAGATCCCATAAGCCTCGAGCCCCACATGCCCAACCCTAAGAAAAAAAGAACGAGGGGCGAGCTCAAATTAAGAACTTGAGCACACAGCGATAGATGCATCAAAGAAGAGACATCACTTGGACGGTCGAGGCCATTTCTGCCGCGCCTGCCGGGCCCTCGCTTCTTTAGAACATAGTTGCTTTTGCAACATGTGTTGGACACATGCAGCATTGGTACACAGTAGCTGCGGCGCGAGGCGAGTCCTGAACCTGCCGGAGAATGCCATCCGCTCTGCAGGCACCGAGGCATCGCAGATGTCACAAGAATTCACAAGAGATCGAGAGCGCTATAACGCACTAAAGCCCCCAAAAGTGTGCCAGGCCTTGGCTGGCGCTTTGATCAGCGGGGCAACTCCTTTTTTGGAGCAGCTGGTGCCCATTTCCATCCGAATCGCAGAAGTGCTAGCTGTGTTACCCTCTCGGAGCCCTGATGTGACGATGCCATCACAGGTGCTTGCAGGCAATGGCATCGGGACCATCGGTGTGCACTACTCAGACTGATGTCAAGTATCATGAGTATCTGCATCAGCCTTCGGACGCTTTCGATACTAGTATGCACCTACACGGCCGAATTGGAACGTGTTGGCGGGATTTCATGTGGACGGCTCTCGGAAGCCTCAGCACCGAGCCTCGAGTTCTGCTAGGCTTCTCGGTCCATCATGAAGTTCTACGTAGATGTCCTGAAGCCGAATCTGCAGCCCAAGCCGGGAAGCCGGTTGATGTTCGGAGCCAGTCCCCTAATGTCCCCTCACTTCCGTTTTCGGAGCGCGCTCGATCTTAAGGCAGTTTGGAGGCGTCGGGTTGAGCAGTCGTCTCTAAGAGCACGAGTCGCGCCAAGCACATTGCCCGAGTCCGAAGACTTTAAGCTCTGCGTACAAGTCGAAAGGCACGAATGCTTGTGAACGTTTGGAGGTGGAAGCACCAACAATGAACTCTCAAGATAAAGCTAATTACTATGAGTCTGCAAGGGCTGCTATTTTTTATCCTTTGGTTCATCTTCCCGAGGCGCGGGCAATCGCCACGGCGCTGAAGCAGCTTCCCAGACTGCAGGATCAGCCGCCGTGAACACAATGGTGTTATCGTTATTGGTGTTCGCTGTCGTTTCAGTATTGTTACCATTCTATCAACAGCAACTGCTATTAAGTATAGTGTTATAACTATTTGTTGTTGTCTAAGTTTAGTAATTATTAACTACAAGTTGTTATCGTGCTTTTACAACTGCAGTTGTCATAACCATCATCATCACCACCATCGACATCGACATCACCATCATCATCCGGCATCGCCATCATCAGCGTCACCATCATCATCGTCATCATCCGGCATCGTTATCATCAGCATCATCAGCATCAGCATCAACATCAGCATCAGCATCAGCACCATCATCAGCATCATGATCGCCATCATCAGCAGCATCCTCGCGATGATGATCATTATATCATCATCACAATCATCATCGTCATCATCATCATCATCACAGTCATCATCAGCATCAACATCATCACGAGACCAGCAATGACAGAGCAACAGCGGAAGGCCCAGGGATCTGAAGGGCGCGGTCAAGTCTTGCAACGAGGTGACCAGGCGTTTGTGGCTTAAGACTTTGCGATATTTCCGGTTGAGAGCTTTAGGTTTGTGTGTTGGTCCCAGGTCCTACGGTTTGGGAATTAAGGTTTTAAGAGCCTGGTCGGAGCCTCCCACTATCCATTGCTTGATTGCCATTTCATGTTGAGCTCACTTTAGAGGTAAATTTAAGGTTACCGTTCTACACCCAACGAATATACGGGCTGGGTGCCTCGGGTTTGCCATCCGAATCGTCAGTCTAATCGAAACGGCTGTGCACAGGTTGTCACAGATGAATTCCCTTTGCTATTCATCTCATGGTCGGTTGCACTGCGCGGCAGGACTTACACCTGGCACGGAACGCGCTTGGCAGTCAGGGCGTGCAGCCCCAAGATTGCTCGCATATTCTGGCAAGTTTTCCCGTCGGTCGCCTGCAAGTGGGGGTTTCCGGAAATAGGGTACCCTAAAAAGTAGGATCTTTATTATATACTGTATACGGACCCCAAAATAAGGTACGGTACCCCTAATTTTCGGAAACTCCCAAATCGCTCAAGGCAGTTGCCATTTCTCGAGCCTTGAAGCTGGACCATGCTCCAGCTTTAGAGTGGCCCCTTGGCTTAGACATGTGGGTGGTTGTCAAATTATCCTTTTTGGTACCCTAAACACTAGGTGCCGTAGTACATGAGGGACCCAAAAAGGGACCGTATGTTTGACAACCACCCATGTCAGTGAACCCCCGAGCGCCATTGCATGTCACACATTCGGTTGATCAGCTCTTAGTGTACAACAGCCGATGTGTGCTATTTCAGATTCACGGCCTCTTCACTGCTACAGTTCACGAAGCACTCTACTGGGATCTATCGTGGGCTCCCTATCAGCAACAGAAACACATTGAATCTTACTTCAAAGACCCAAGCCCTCAAGACGACTTGGGTCCAGTTTACGCATCCCTAGGATTATGATTTTAAAGACCGTCCCCGGCCCTGCGAACATATCGTGGTTTGGTGTTTAGGGTCTTACAGTTTTGACGCTCGGAGTTTGGGTTTAGGGTTTGAGAGCGTGAGGCTGTCTCTCACGGAGAACTCCATCGGTGACATGGGCCTCCAAGCGCTGTCGGCGAGCGTCGCAAGGCCGCCCTCTTTTCGACACAGGCATGAGTCAGAAAAGCGTCAAAGCTTCGGTTTGCGGGTGGGTCTACCTTGCTTTCAGGCGTGGGGAATTTCTACTTTCCTCTTGCGTCTATGATCCTGAGTAGCCTAAGGGCCTTGACCCTATAGATTCAGGCTATTATGCGATTAAGTTGCATGGTCCGACAACCAGGCCTAATGAAGCCAAATATACTATACATTTTCCTTCTGTATATATATATATATACATACACACAGATAGCAATCATATATGTGTGTATGTATATTATAGGTATACATATATAGATATATGTAGGTATTTATTTGTAACTTTATGTATCTATCTCTTGTTTGTCTCTCTACCTGTTCATTTATCTATTTATCCACCTGTCTATCCTGATGCATACTGGTACCCAGATCAGGGCTTCAGGGAAACCGTTTAGGGTTTAGGGTCTAGGGAGCCCTAAACCCTAAAACCGAAAAAAACCTTAAACCCCTAAACCCCCAAACCCCTAAACCCTAAACCCCAAACCCCCAAACCCCCAAACCCCTAAACCCCCAAACCCCTAAAACCTAAACCCTAAACCCCCAAACCCCTAAACCCTAAACCCCCAAACCCCTAAATCCTAAACCCTAACCCCCCCAAACCCCCAAACCCCTAAACCCCCAAACCCCAAACCCCTAAATCCTCAGCCCTAACCCCCCCAAACCCCCAAACCCCTAAACCCCCAAACCCCAAACCCCTAAATCCTAAACCCCTAAACCCCTAAACGCCAAAACCCCTAAAACCCTAAGCCCGTCGGCTTCGGGGTTGCTTCCGCCTCGGGCCTCGGAGGATGCCGCGGCTCGAGTGGTTGGACCTGGAGCTGAACGGTGGGGAGCTTTGCTCCCCCATTCTTTCTTAGTCTTAATATTGTTCGTATTATTATTATGAATATTGTTCCTACTATCAATGTTTCTTAGTCTTTTCATGATCCTGATTATAGCTGTTTGTATAGCTGTTGTGGTTATTGTTATCATCAATATTGTTGAGATTACAGTCTTGTTGCGACTGTTTTTGCTATTGTTGTTGTTCTTTTTAAATACTTCTTAACATTATTCCTCATATTCGTATTCGTATTCTCACTCTTGTTCTTGCTGTTTGTATTGCTGCTGTTGCTATAACTATCATTATTGTTACGATACTATACTTTTTTTGTGCTATTGCTACCGTTATTATTCTTTACCGCTATTCTTATTCGTATTGGTATTCTTTGTATGGGTATGGTCATTGTTATTATGATAACTAATATTACTATTAGAAGTAGTACTTGTTTAGCCTATTCTGGTGATGTTATCTCACAGTTACTGTTATTGGTATTACTACTGTTGTTTTGCGTTCTTGCGTGCTCAGGGATGGGGCTTGGCGTTCTTTGGGGGCTTAGGTTCGGTCATTTCGGGCTTAGATCCAGGTGGTTGGGTTTAGGGTGGAAGCTTAGGGTTCTTTGGGCTTTAATTTCAGGTTTTTGGGGCTTAGGTTCAGGATTTAGGGTTTGGGGTTTAGGGAACAGGGTTGGGCTTAGGTATCACTGACATCGGCGCCAGCGCTCTGGGGCAAGCGCTGTCCCAGTCGGCTGGCCTCGGATTGCGAGAGCTGGATATGCGCGGCAACAAGGCCGGTCGATTCAGCGATGTACCTGGGATCCCTCATAATAGTCACAACAGTAATCTTAAGAATAATGTCAAAAGAACTAATTATCGTGCGCCATGCATCAGGTTGGAGAGCATGGAAGGCTCCGTCAACCCCTCGGAGCTTGGCAGTGATCCGCAGCGTCGGGGCGTCTGCAGCGAATCTTAGGTCTGGAACAGGCCAAAGCTAACGTGCTTGGCCTTCAGCGCCGACCTTGGCAATCGCGCTTTTGCCGGTGCTGTCACTGCAGCCGTCCACGTAGCCCAAACGAAAGAATCCATACTCTGCATTATGATTATCTCCACAAGAAGGCACATAACTGCTTGGTTGCATCTTCCAATAGACCGACTAGGGAGGCACTCTTCTATTGACTCCCAATTGAGGGTGTGCGGTGGACGTGTTGGCTCGCCAGCGTAGCCCCAAAGAGCATGATTAAGTGGGTGCTGTTCAGGTAGAGCTCGCAATGGACTTGTCCATTCGTGATGCTAGTCACCATCAAGCAAGATGATGATAGATGACGGTCAACCTTCGTTTATGCCGCACGATGCCTCGATGAAGTGTTGTCAGCGTCCCAAAAACTTACCTTGGGCTAGTAGGCAATAGAGGAATGGGGTACAATTATAACTTATAACTACTATTACTACCATTTTTCCATTCCCTGCTAACCCAAGGTATTCAAAATCTCCATCAGGTTCTGGCTTGGACCCATGACCGCTGGACGTCCCCGAGCCGAGGCCGCGGGCTGGGATAGGCTGAGACGAGGGCGCGCTGCTGCAACGCAGCATGATAAACAACGCCACTGCCATTATTGTGAATGTTTGCTTTTTCGTATTGCTCTTGCAAAATTATTGTTATTATTGTCAATGTTGTTTTAATTGCTATTGTTATCAACTGTTGCTCAACATGTATTATCAGCAATTTTCGTTATGATTAGCATTGTTATCATCATTATTATGATTCTGCTTCTTATGACTAGTGGTGTTATTGCTGTTCTTGGTATTCTTGTTATTATCATTACGAACACGATTTCGAGGCTCTGCCCCAGCCCATCTGCGAGCCTGAGCCTCTTCCGCCCGCGCGCGGCCCTCAGAGCCTTGGGCTTCCCAAGCTGTCATCTTCGGTTGATGATATAAATCCTGCAT